GGCCCTCAGACGGCTCTCGGCTGTGAAGCCATCTCGGCGTCTGCGTTGCTTCACTGTCGATGATGGACAGTCGGTGGTCCTGGGAAAGGAACCGGTCTATGTTGGCGGGAAAGTGGCCGGCTATGTGACGAACGCGGCTTTTGGGTTCACCGTCGGGAAGCCCATCGCGTTTGGCTACCTGCCGATCGAGGTGAACGTCGGGGACGGCGTGGAGATTGAGTATTTTGGGCGTCGAATCAAGGCCACAGTCGTGGCGGAACCCTTGCATCAGCAAGGTGCGATCAGGACGGAAACCGCGTTGCAGAGAGACGAACAGGCTCGGCCCGTGCTGAGGTCTCGATTATGATTTTCATTACTAGCATGAGTAAGTACAATGGCAGCCCGTACCCAACGTAGGCCAGGCACATAATGTATCTCGGAGCCTTGTGTGTGTTTGATAGGATCAGAAATGAGCGTGGCTTGCTTGGACACTTCAACGTCAACAATCGAGACAATTCATAATACACCTCTCTGCGTCATCTTGGAGGACGCAAAAGAGACACCTCTCTGGTCAAGTCATCTCTCACGTCGGCCAAGCACCCTCGATCCATTCCAGGGACGGGTGCGTGTTGCCCAACTGCAAAAGCAGGTCCTCCTCGCCCAGCGTATTGATGTGCGACATGGGATCGTACCCGTGTGGCTGGCCACCGTAGGCCATGCTCATGTCGCCTCCCGTAAAGATGGGCACCGTCGGCTCAACGCCTCCCATCATGACGTTGTTCTCGTTCCCCATAGGACCAGGTGGCTTCCGGAACATATTCGCCAGTATGTGCATCCCCTCGCCTCGGTCTTGCTGTGGCCGCCCCGGCTTCTGCTGCTGAGGCTGTTGCTGGGCACCCGTCTCAGGCGAGGCGGCGGGGCTTTCCTTTTCCACGAGCGGTCTGCAGAGGGTAACAAACTTCTCGAACAGTCGACAGACACCGGCAATGGCACCATCAATGAGCGAAAAGTCTGTAAGGTTTTGTGTTGTTTCAACGAGGAGTTGGAAGTCTTGTGGGCCCGGGACGTTGACGACGTGGCAAAAGAGTATGAAGAATGGGTATAGGGGGTGACAGAGCAAGATCCTGATTCATGTCAGCATGGAGGGCTACTGATTTGGGCAACGGCAAGAGATGCTAACCATGTTATGGATGCTTTCAAAGTGTCCACTTTGGTCAGCGCTTTCGATGTGCGGAGGAGTTCGTTCAGCAACGAAAGCGCAAGTCGAGCATGTCCCATCATCTGGTCAAGGAGACTACAGTCTTCCGAGAGGCCTGGATGTAATCGGAAGATGGCCGTCATGATTGAGTGATACACAAAATCGGCGCCGATCCATTCAGCAGCAAGATAGGCGTCCTGATCGTTGAGAGGTTTTGACCGGAACTAGACAGTGTCAGTGCTTGCGTGTAACATGATATTCTGTGCAACGAAAGCACAGCGCGCACTCACATGGCGAATCTTCTCACCAATGGGCCACATTTTCTGCTGAAGGCTCTGCACAACATCCATCTGCCGGTTGACCTCAGGACGGCGCTGCCTGCCCTTGATGATTTCGTCTGATACCAGCGCAAACTCGAGATAGACGTCGGGTAATGCAGTGTACGGGCGGGAAGGGTCGAAAGGTGTGACCATGGCCACGTTTAGGTTGATGTCGGGTAAAGCCGAGACACGATTCATGGTGAGAGAGAGCGACTTGTCGAACATGAAGCATAGCGTTAGGCAGTACCGCGCGGCAGTTGCTTCTGCGCTGTTCGCAGTCGTGGCCAGGTTGGTGAAATAGCGCCCACCGAGGGCAACACACACTCGCGATGCTGCTGAGCTTAGGTTCCAGCTTTTCTCCACCCTTCCGGTGTGAATCATGAACATGGTCTAGTCGTGTCAGTCCTCCTGATGCCCCTGACTCAAAAGAAGGCAAAGGAAAAACATACCCCAGAGAGTAACGCCTGGAACAACGAGAGGCTTGGCACGTCGAGTACACCGATGGAATGGACAGCGGCAAGGAGATTCGCCTCGTAGTGTTCTCGCCTTCGAATGAGGTGTTGCTTCATGGCCGGACTAATGGTGCCGGATATTGTCGCGTGGAGATAAAGCCAGGCGGCGTAGTTGAGATTAACCATGTAGTGTAGTCGAGCGGGACTCTTGGCTGTGCCTTCGATCAGAGCAATTCCTTGCTTCTCAATCGTCTCTCGCGATACCATGTCCAAAATGTAGGACAGCCCGACGCTTTGATGTTGCGTGGGCGCTGTTCACGGTCACTCAGTCACCAATTCCTGGTAGACAGAACAGTTAGTAGAGGAACGTACCGTCGAGAATAAAATGCAGAACTTCTGCCGAGGGATACATGGACTCGTCATCAAGGTCCAGTCCGCTGTAGATCTCGGCCTCGGGGTCAATCTGCGGTGTCGTCGTCGATGGCTGATTTGAGAGGGCGACGGCAGCTTTCAGCACCTCCCGCCTCCCTACATCCATGCCCTTGCCGGCCAGCAGCTCAAACTCCAGCATGGTCTGCGCCTGCGCGCCGGCACCATGCGAATGCGCCCTCATGATATCGGGTCTCGGCGTTCGCGCCGGACGGTGCTCATACTCCTGCTTGAGGAGTCCCTGGCGAAAAGGTTTCCTCGTGCTTACGGTCGGCGAGAAGCCTGACGACTGGGACGCATGGTCCTTGCTGCTGGAGGCATCCGGCTGATTCGCATCCCTCGGGGCCTCGACGGCGTTAGGCCATGAGGTCTCGCTCTGGCGGTCGCCGTCTGGTCGTGCAAAGGTGGGCACGCCAAGCGTCTTCGCATTTGCGGCGCCGGCGAGCTGGCTCGCATGCCGCACGGCAGCGGCTATCTTGCGTCTGTTGGGTTGGTCCAGGGTGTGAGCCGATGAGCAGCAGATAGGGCGTCGGGTGCCATGCGATGATGAACTGGATGCCTATCTTGGCAAACGGGAAACGTTACCTCTCATAGTCTGGGTTGCCTCGCCTTTTGGGCCGCGCCCGGATGCAGGCGGCTGACAGAGACACGCAGTGTGAGCACGGGTCTGATCGGTCGCACTTGATCTGGAAAGGCAGTGTCAGTCTCTCGCAGGCTGGCTATTCCGGGGGATCCGTCGACACGACTGCATCGTGGGGGAGGTGGTGTGTTGGTGTTGGTGTTGGTGTTGGTGTTGGTGTTTGCCTCTTTGTCACTCACCTTTTTCGCGAAGCACAAGTCGCACTGCATACGCCAGTATCAATCCATCGTCAGCACTCCGTCCCACTCGATCAAGCAGGAAATGGACCGTTCCCCAATGGATGGATGGATGCAACTCACAGCCCGGTTCCGCGGTGCCGGGATCTCAAAGGCCTCTTCGGGTTGGCTCATGTCGTAAAAGCAAGGGCAGGCAGATCAGGTGGTCAGATCGGACGGGTGGGCAGCCAGCACAGGCACCTCCTCACGCTCTCTCCTCTGTGCGTCTCTCTGCCTGGGTCTGCCTCTGTCTGCAGCCTCTGTCTGCCTGTCTCGCTCGCTCACTCTTTGCTTACAGATCCCTTACCTCACCTCACTGAGGAGGAGTAAATGACCTATCTGACGGTGCGATGCATGCAATAGGTAGAAGGACCAACACGTGGGTGGCCCCCGGAATCCGGAAATCTGGAAAATGGGAGGAGGCGTCTCTGTTCTGGACCTGGTTGGGGAGGACTTCGGGAGCTTATGAGCAGGGAATTCGGCCGAGTCATAAGCAAATGGCCCACTGTCCCGATCATTAGTCAGGCGCCGCCCGCATCAAGGTGGTTGCATCCAAGTGCCGCCCTAGCGCGAACCAGCGGCCTCAGCAGGAGCACCCTAGCCTCCAACTGCCCTAGCACCTCCCTCACGCACCTCGACACTGAGCAGCACCTTCCGAGGGCCTGGGTGCGTAAGGTGTCGCCTGCCTACCTAGTCCGGGCGATACCAGTGCACCTTCCGCAGCATGTCTGGCACCTGCCAGCCGAGGTAGCCACCTTAGCAACCACCTACCGTGCCCTCTCCAGAGGCAGCAACATGTCCATCGGCCCCTGACAAATCGCCCAGGAAGGAAAGGGGCAGGGAAGGCAAGGCAAGCACGCAGCTGTCAGCTCCACCGCGACACGCCTGCCTGGGATCAGAGCTTCGGCGTTAGCCCCTGCGGAGAATCAATCACTGGTCGGAACAAAATGATCGGCACTAAAACAGCAGAGAAACCCACCTGGCAGTCTTGACCCCCTCTTGGAGCATGGGCAACTTTGTGCCTCTCACTCACGCATACCCTGTCCGCTCTCCAACCCCTTTTCGTCTCGTTGCTTGGCGGTCCCAACGGTCATCTCTCCCAACGTGGCAGTAGGGCGGAGACCATGGGGGGAGGGGGCTCAGAACGGCCAAGTCAAACGTGGCTGTCGATCAGAGTGGACGCAAAGCAGCAGGCCTGAACCGGCAGGTGTTATGGAGTCGGCGTTAGCGAATGCGAATGTTGTGGGCACGGATTCACAAACGGCCCTCCTCGATCTGCATCTCGATAACGCAGCAGAGAGCATGGGAAAAGGCCTCCCCAGATGCATTTAGCGTTGGCGTGCGGGTTGACTAGCCCCTCCGGGATCGTGCCCTTGCTTGCAGTCGCCGCCAGCGCACTCTGCTGAACGGAGGATGCCGTACATGGGTGAGGCGCAGCACGGAGAGCGATGGGAGTGTTGCCCTGTACAGCTCCCATGGCCGAAATGTCCCTTGGCCCATCATGGATGGCGTCGTTGAAGTTCTGATCGCCCTAATGGAGGGGCGTACGTGATTACGGCCCGTCATGAGATAGAGTTAATCTTGCTAGCAGTCAGGCCGGCCCCACGGGATCGAGAAGGCACCCGGCGAACCCGCTTCTCGATCCCACAAACTGCACCATTAGGGCCATGGCGTTGTGCGGCTGACCTATACGGGTGTTAATAATCGATGGCACGGCCAGTGTCTTGGAGGGGCGCAAAACCATCGGGATACTAATCGGAACCGGCGGTCCCTTTCAGCTGGAGTGCTCCCGGCTCACTCAGAGACACAACCTAGCCAGGTCTTCACAATATCCAGTGAGCTGTGGGATTCCAAAGAACAGCGAGCTGTCGGATGAACGTGACCCGGAACAGTTGATCTACAGATATGCAGCAAGTGGTTTGGAGGTCAAGTCAGCCAGCCCTTGAAGCTCGGGGAACTTCGTCTCATTGTTCCTTGAGGCAAGGGAATAGAGTTACCGTCGATCTGCAGAAAACGACAAGAGCTGCATAACAGCAAGGGTCTCAACATGCCGCGACCGGACGGATTCACGCGTACATCCATGGCCACGCGGATGACGCCTCTCCGAAAATGTCAGAGATGCCATTGCCAGATCTGTGATCATTATTACTCGCGCACATCACGGGGCGGGTGAGCCATGCCCTAAAAGGCAGCTTGCTTGTAAGCTGCTCAACAAAAAAGACCTGGGTCATTGGCTCATTCACGCCAAAACCATTACCCGGCGCGTGGCAGATCCTGGCCTTATGGTTTCATAGAGATGTGCTCCTCTGCAAGTGGTGCCTGACTTTGTTGTCTGAAGACGGCAGTTGACATGATCCCAACCCGAGAATAGTTTCAGCGCGGCTTGCTGAAAGAACCGAGTCTCATAGGGTGCCATACCTATCTGTGAATCGTACTGGTGAGTCGGGCAAAAGGCGTAGGGCCACCGACTCGCCAAGTGGTCTAGTGGTCTAGCACCGTGCCACTCAGGGGTTTGCCTCTGGGACCTCGTTCAACGTGGTTTTCGTCGAGCGCGGAGATTCCCGCATGCATAGCGAGGCAATTGGTTCGGCAAAGGCATTTTTTTCGTACAAAAAAGCTCTTGCTAATTCTATCAAAGTCTCCATATGGTGAAGTGACCAATTTTTCTCATGCATACATTGTCGTGTTAATTCTCGCTGACAGCTGGCAGATGTCTAGAAGATCTCCCGATCATCATACGCCCGAACACTCTCCAGGTAGCGCGTCACCTCGCCATAATCTTTACATACTATTGTATCGTTAGCTTGGGCCTCAGCCAGTATCGGCTGCCTGGAACTCACCATGCTTCGAATCCCAACCGTCGGATCCGCCGTTGTGGTCTGGAAATGTGGTTTCCAGACCCTCCAATGCCGTGTCGGCAGAGCACATGATGGTCTGTCGCAGATATGCGAAGCAGTGGATCATGTGCCAGTGGTGGTCCTCGGGGAGCTCATGCTCCGACTTGAGGCCTGAGTATGTCTGTACCACAGCAAACTACAGAGGGTTAGCACGTCTAAGCTTCTCGGGATCAACCCCGGGGTCTTCGTGAGCCTACCAAGCAGTGGAGCTGATGCGTGATGGATGTCGTGAAGACCGTCTTGCCGGGCCAGATGATGGGTGTCGGCAAGTCATGGTACTTGTGTGTGTCATTAACCCATTGGAAGCCCATGCCGACTGTCCTCAATTAGTTGATCGACCCTCATCACGATATTTGATGACACTCACTCGGCATAAGTTCGTTCCAGTTGTGCAGCGTCTCGTTGGTAAAGAAGAGCGACGTATCGTTTGGCGCGTATTTCCCGTCATAGTCCGGCTCAAAGACCTTGATCTGCTGGGAGACTTGCTTCCTGTCAGCACCGTTCCGTTCAACCCTCGTCTTTGCGCGCCCCAGGCGAACACTCACACCGCGGCCCCACGCCTGTTAGATCGCCACCGAAATCCCACATGTTGACCCGCGGCTCGCGCGTCATCTGCCGGACGAGCAGCCCGAGATTCGCCAGCAGCAGCAACGTGTTGACGACGCCGCTGAGCGCGCCGAGCCTCTGCCTCCACCTCCCCCCCTGCCTCTCGGGCCTCGTCCTCTCGAGCGCCTTCGCGGCGTAGCAGTTCCTGCACGGCTTCTCGTCGCCGATCAGCGACTCCTCGACCTCGGTGCTGCTCCTGTCGTCGCTGTGGTCTTCGAACTGCACCGTCTCGTAGCCTGTGTCCTTGGCCATCATGTCGGGCGAGCTTCGGAAGGAGGGCATTTGCGTCGACTGTATTTCGTATTTTTTTTCCTTCTCTTTTTTCCCCCTTCTCTTTGTCGTTGAAAGACTTTTTCCGGTACGTCGAAGAATGATGAGCTGCACATGGTTCACGAGCGGCCCAGGGAAAGCGGGCGATCCATCTTTTAATCGGAACGTGGAGACGCACGGGCTGTCGTTTCATCGTGGCCGAATGTCCGTCCGTCTTGGTGATGCGAAACACGCCCCTTTTGGCAGGGAGGGTTTGGGAACCGTCTGAGGTTTTGGTTAGCTCCCGTCGTTTGTGCCGCATTGCCGGCCTGTGATGCTTCTTGTGGGTAGGTATTTACCCATGTAAGACCGTGTCAAAGTAACTTATCTACCTAGGCACGGGGTGGAAGAAAACCGCACTCCAAGTCCGCGAAACAACAGATATCATCCAGACAGACCCCTAACTTCGTATCTCGATTTATTGCTCTGAAATTCTACCCACTAGATAATCGGCGACAACTCTTGGAAGATTCTGCTCTATTAGTTTTGGGCCGATGCAAAGTATAGTACATGTACAAGGGTCCAAATTGAACGCATCTTTCAGGGATGTAGCTTTGTTTTATCGGCCCCTTGCGAGATAGGTAGAGTAGGAGCTCAAATATCACCCGGCACGCCGCTCAATGCATCCTCGCTAGCCGCACCTGGACAGCGCCGGAATACAGACCTTCAGCCCTACACATGCTGCCCCGAACCAGCAGCTTGTCTCATCCCCGCTGGCCGGCCGGCTGGGCTTGGCTTAGTAAGGCCCGTCCCGCCTGGGAGATCTGCTCCCCTCCGCCGATCGTCTCCCCGATCGTCTCCTCCACTCCACTTTTCGCGGGACCAGACAAGCAGCTTCAAAATTCAACCAACAAAATCTCCTTCACCCCCCCAAAAGAAAAAAAGGGCCTGAATCTCAGGTCCGAGGGTTGTAACCCCGCCCTCCTATCAAAATGGCATCAACTGCGACAAACCCACAGGCAGGCCAGGCCGCAGCCTCCAAGCCGCCCCAGCTGCCGCCAAACGTAACCATCTTCTCGCCCAGGGCCCCGTCCGCCGCGGACGCCCTCCTTAGCGGCCGCATCTTTACGCGCCTCACCACCACGGCCGCCACGACCTCAGCACAACTGGCCGCCGTGCTGAGGAAGATACAGACGCCGCCCGGGACAGCGGGCGAGTCGTTCTGCCTTGCGTATAACGGCGGGATCTTGATCTTTGACGGCGGCGACGCGGAGCCACAGGAGGAGGAGGAGGAGGAGGAGGAGAAGGGAGAGGACGAAGAGCTGCTGGATGCGCACCATGAGCATTTTCGCGCCGTGTGCTTGGCGCTCAAGGACGAGGATGTCGATCTCGACGTGTCGGGATGCGTGTTTGACGCAAAGAGTGTTCTGCAGGCGGGGTTCCAGCTTGATGCACTGAGTCCCGAGACGGTGCTGGTGATTGATCTGGTGGATAATGACGATGACGATGACGACGCGGAAGACGACGACGATGAAGAGGTGACTGAAGAAAGCCTGGGGGCTCTGGGGATGACGTCCTGAGCGTTGGCGCAGGAGATGAGATCTTAGCAATGCTGTCATCAGCCTGGTCGTTCACTGTTGTGGTGTTTGCATAGCCTCTCGGATAGTATTAGCATGCGCATGGCAATATTCTTCTCCTAGCCAGTCTCTGAGCAGTCTACCGGTGAACAGCAGACGTGAGACGACAACAAAAAAGCACGTTTCATCCATCCATTCGCCGTTTTCGTCCCTCCTAGACTCGCCATCAACCTGCCTGGCGATCAACAGTCCGGCACACTGACGGGAATGTTAAATGGAACGCTCGTGGCGAGCCCACTAAGACTGGTCTCCTTGAACTCATTCCTCATGCCCTCCGCAGTGACCCTCATGGCCCGAATCGCATCGTCGAGACTAACTCTCTGCGACCCGGTCCCACTGAGAGCCAGGTTTGCGCTCGAGATGGCCTTGATAGCTCCCAGCGCGTTTCTCTCGATGCATGGCGCCTGCACCAGTCCACCAATGGGGTCACACGTCAGGCCGAGATTGTGCTCAATGCCGATTTCTGCAGCTTGCTCAATCACATGCGGACTGCCGCCCATGCAGGCGGCGAAACCTGCGGCGGCCATGGAGCACGCGACGCCGACTTCGGCCATGCACCCACCCTCGGCGGCGGAAATGGTGGCGCCGCGCTTGTAGAGCATACCGATGGCCGACGCAGTCAGGAGGAACGTCAGGATGTCGCGCTCCGGATCGTCGCTGACGAATTCGATTGTGTACTTAAGAACAGAGGGAATGATGCCGGCCGCTCCATTGGTCGGGGCCGTCACGATACGGCCGCCGCCGGCGTTGGTCTCATTAACCGCTGACCAGTGTTAGGGCTGACACTTCTTGCTTCCAAACATAGGGGAACATACCAATGGCATAGACGGATAAATGGTCCATGGCTGGGAATGCTGTCCGTCGTGAGGGAGAAGGTGACACTGGGTGGAAGAAAGACCCGTGAACCTTGGCCGGGGTTCGTGGCCCCTTGATCTCGGGCCTCACCAAACTCTTTTGCGGCTTCGCTGGCGACTCCGAGGCATTGACCGTGGTGCTGTCGGCATGGCTCGCGGATGCCTTGCTGTTGTTGTTGGCCTGTGTATGTGATGGGTAGAGACCCCTCGTCAGCCGCCTGTAAAGAGCGGGCGCCCTGCGGTGAAGCTTGAGGGATCCCGGAAGCACCGAGTCCAGCGGTGCCTGGACACCTTCAAGGATGCTGTTGTCCATGGTCTCCCAGATGCGATAGACCTTTTCGAGGATCTCTTGATCGGTATAGCCATGGCTCTTCTCGTTTTCGTAGACGAGCTGCGCAATGGTAAGGTTGTGCTTTTCGCACAAGGCCAGCAGGCTCTCGGCGTCACGGAAGGGGTACCGCGGCTGCTGCTGCTGTCCCGAGCCTTCGGTCTGTTGCTCGGTCTGCTGAAGCGCCAGGGCTTCGTCAGAGGTTGCTGTCTGTTCCTGGCCAATCTGCGCCGGTGGGGTGGCCGAGTCGCTCGGCTCGACTGGTGGCTCGACGAGCTTGACTTCGGGTCCGGTTTTGCGGTCACCTGCTGCGTCGGAACGTCGAATCTCCTTGTAGTACATGTTTTCCGCCAGATCAGACGGGTGGCCAGCCTCTGCGGGCCCGTTGGGATCGACGAGGGCCCCGTGATCCGAAGATGATGGCGCAGCCGAGGTCGGGTTGATGGACATGGCGCCGTTGACAACAAAGCCACCGCCGACGCTGAAGAGGTCGTTTGTGGCGATCATGTAGCCCTCCTTGTCGAAGACCATGAAACGCATGCCGTTGCTGTGCATCGGGAGCTTCTTCCCCCATTCCCAGATAAAGTCGCGCTCGTAGTCAAAGGCAATCTTCTTGCCTTCACTGCCGAGCAGGCCATGGCCAAGAATGAGCTCCTTTTCCTCTTTAATCTTGGTGAACCTCTCGGGGACGTAGTCCGTATCGACGCTCTCGACGTCTGCGCTCTCGAGGCCGAGCAAAAGAGCGGACGGCGTCATGTGACCCTCCCCAGTGAGGGCAAGGCTTCCGTAGATGGAAATGCGAATCCTGTGGACCTTGTCAAGGAAGCCTGCTTCGATGAGATCTGCGACGAAAATGTTGCCCGCACGCATGGGGTCCGACAGTATGAGAGGACGACGGTCCGATGCCAAATGGAGAAGAGGGTCAAAGGTCGAGATGACGGCATGCTCGTGATCTCTCTCGCTGTACGAGCCACGTTCCTCGTCGTCGCCATCCTGGGTGCCGGTGCTGAACAAACGCGCTCCGCGGCCGTAGTGTGCTGTCGTCTGGCGGCTGAGGGGCCGGGTCAGGTGTCCAAGATGATCCCTTGTCCGTGAGACGGGCGCGAGACCCCTGGCGCGACACACTGGCGCGCTCCTGAGGGCGCGGAGCAGCTGCACCTGTCGAAGGGCAACAGAGGAACGCATGGCGAGAGGGAAACGAGGAGAGAAATCAATGTCGAGAGGGAGCAGAGCTCACCGGTTCTCGTCACTGTGAAATGCCCTGAGGAAGGAGCTGTTGGCAACGCGCCTGCACATGTCAGGTACCTGAATCTATATGTCATACACCGCCAATCAATGGATGGGAAGTTCAGGGACAGAAGAAACGGGCAAGCTGCGATAGGGCGCTGCTTGGGGATTGGTGGAGCCCCTGTGCTTCCCCAGATAAGCATTGCGCCTTACAACTGCCGACGATATCCGGATACGGTTCTGTTGAGGGCGCAGGGAACATTCGAAGCATGATATCAACATCTTGGGTCGGTTATATGTCTAGGCAGCCCGGCTGGCTTCAATGGCCGAATGATTTCTTTTCTTTTCCTGTTCTTGTTTTCCACCTTTTCGTCACCAGAAGCAGCACACCGACAGCGCCTGCTTCGATGCACAATCCTTCTCTAGGTACGTACCTACCTAAGGTAGGTGGGTAGGGACGTACCTTCCATGCCAGGCAGCTGCAGCCTCCACGATGAATCACGCATGACCCCTGAGTCACAGAAGCCACGACCCTGTTGACACTGGCTACAGCGCATCAGCCCCTGGAAGCCCTCCATGGCCACAGCACGTGCAGCGCCCAGGGCTCACGAGATAACCTGCCCATGAACACCACACTGAATCAAATACCCGAAAAGAATCCCAACAGCATCCTGCCCCCCAAGCCTCCTTCAAACCACATCCTGTGCACAGCAGCCGTCAGGGCACTCAAACTTTGACCTTCTCCCCCACAACAGGTGTCAGCTTGATCTCCAGGGGCGGCTTGTTCCACAGCGAATACGCCTTTTGCGTCTCCAGCCACCCCTCGCTCTGCGGCGCCAGCTCGAGGTCAAAGTCGTAAAGCACCCTCGCCAGGATGAGTCGCATCTCGGCGTAGGCAAGACTGTTCGAACACGATCAGCTACCCGGCTCAGAAGAAAAAAAGAAGAGAGTAAAAAAAAGAATGGCCGCGGTATGACTCACTTCCTGCCAATGCAGTTCCTCGGACCAACGCTGAACGGCTGGAGCGCCTCGAACTTGTTGCCCTTGGCCGCGGCCTCCTCCTCGCTGTCGAGGAACCGCTCCGGCCGGAACGTCCAGGGGTCGGCCCAGTTGTCGGTCGAGTGGTTCGCAGACCACTGCTGCACCTCGACCAGCGTCTACACAGCCCGTCAGCAAACCGAGTCCACGTCCGACACAACACTAGGTCAAAAATGCTCACCCCGACGGGCACATAGTGGCCCGCGATCGTCTGGCCGCCCGGCGGCACCCTCCGCACGAGGTTGGACGTGACGGGCGGGTAGCAGCGGAACGACTCGTTGAGCACGGCCAGCATGTACGACAGGCCGCCGACGGAGGACAGGTTGATGTCGTCGGCCGAGGCAAAGGTCTCGCGGACCTCCTTGGCCACCCTGTCGAGCACGCGTCGGTTCGAGACGAGCAGGTACGTGGCGCCCGAGAGCAGCGTCGCCGTCGTCTCGGAGCCCGCGACGACGAGCAGCGACGCGTTGCCGGCCAGGTGGGCAAACGTCAGCCCCAGCTCGTCGCGCTTGCGCAGCACGCCCTCGAAGAGGTCGGCGCGACCCGGCTGGGCCGCCAGGCGCGACGCGAGGCGCGCGTCCGTGTAGGCCGACAGCGTCTTGACCGAGGTCGCGAGCGCGAGGAGCATGACGAGCTCGACCAGCTCGCCGAACCCGAGGTAGATGAGGCCGATGAGGAAGGCGCCCTGGTGCACGGCCGACAGGATGGCGTCGACCCACGGGTGCTGCTTGTTGGCCTCGAGGCAGCCGAAGCTCTCGCCAAAGACGAGGTCGCCGATGGCGTCAAACGTCGTCCAGTTGTAGTAGTTCTTCAGGTCGACGACGGCTGCCGTGCCCCCGGCCGCCGCCCCGCAGAGGCCGTGGAGCCGCAGCAGCAGGAGGTCGACGTAGCGCCCGATGATGGGCTCCTGCTCGCGCATGGCCTTGTCGCTGAAGCCGTGCGCCAGGCTGCGGCGCAGGCCGCGGTGGTCCTCGACGGTCGACGAGATGATGTTGTGCGGGATGCGGCGCGACACGTGGTAGAACATGGTTGCCTTGGGCAGCTCCGGCATGTCGGACGCGGCGCCGATGCGGTGGCCATAGATGTCCTTGAAGGCCTGGGGGTCCGTGAAGGACAGGTGATGGGGTGCGATGCGGACGACGGGGCCATACTTTTCATGGAGGCGCTGCGTGTGGAAGGCGAGGGTGCCGCCAGTCTGATGCAGGAACCAGGGGATCTTGGACGCGCCTTGGAGAAAGGGGCCCGGGTAATGCCGGAGGGGATGGAAGAAGACGTTGTACGTCGTGGACAGGGCCTGATAGACGACAAGCTGCATGCCGCACCGTCAGTATCGGAACCAGAAGTCATACGTGGAGACGTTATAAACCAGTACGGCATACCAGTCCTAGAACCGCGCCCGCCAGCTTCACATAGCTGGCGGCAGCAATGGCGCTCACAATATTTTGCACGTGAAGACCCATGATGGCGAGACGATGAGACTGAGACTGCTCGGGTGAGACTACTCAGAAGCCTCAACCCCCTAAGGGAAGGGGACGTCTCTTTTTATTACGAACTGCTCTTCGTCCCATCAACTTCCCCGGTACGTACGTACAACCAGCACGATATCCATTGCTGTGCAATGGCGTCCAATGACAGCTGGCCAATGCAAGGCAGCCCCCGTTCAAGTGCCGTGCGCGGGGGAGGCCACGGGCGCGCAACGTCATGTTGCAACGGCCGCCTCATCAGGCATGGCCGCCAGGCGGATCGACACCCCAAAACAGCTCCATGCGCGTGAGTCGTGCAGTGAAAACAAGAGGCAGTGTGCGCAGATTGCCCCCTTTGGCCCCTCAAGTTTGCCCATCCATGTATTCAAAGAGGGGATCTGCGCTCTCTTGACGGGCCACTTCAAGACTCCGAAAGCGAGACCGAAGTTGTTTCGGTTCACTTTACGGGGGTGGAGCATGTCGCGTCGGTCGTCTTCTGCTCGGGTCTCACCTCGATCCTGTACAGAGTCTGGGAAACGAACGTCGTGTCTCGGTCATTTATGTAGCCAAGGCGTATATCATCCGAGAACCCCACGTTTCCACGCCTTGAGAAGTACCGGTAGATCTTCCTTGTGAGGCAGCAAATCCGACATACTGTCATCCCCATCCCATACTGCGCCAGTCCCAGTCCCCCCGAGTTGCGCCCACACCATGCGTATTCGTATCATCCATGTGCCTTGCCATCAGGCCCTCAAAATGGAACATGTCCACTCTCCCCGATGAGGAATGCCTCATTGCGTGTTGGGCAGATTGAAGCTCGGCTCCTGGAGCAACCCCATCATCTGCTGGTTGCTGTAAAACCAGTCCTCCAGCTGCGCCGTGTTGCCCATCCACATCATTGGGTTGGCGCCCTGCATCGTCGTATCCCCGAGACCGCCACCAAACGTGCTGTCAAAAGCGCCTGCCGCCGCCGAATCCGCTTGGTGACCACCAAAGTCCGCTCCGGGGCTGGCGACCACGTTTGGATCGCCGGCCGTCGCCGGGAATCCAAGCTGCGCGAGGTACGTGTTCATCTCTGCGTTGGCCTGCGCCTGCTGCGCCGGGGGCGTGGACACGCGGAACTCGACGTAGCGCAACGCCACGCTGTAGAGGACCTCGAAGAGGCGGTGCATCTTGGCCGCGGCGTCGGAAACGGCGGGCGCGTTCTTAATGGACGTGATGAAGGCGTGCAGGCGGGCGAGGTCTTCTTGGTCTTGCGTCTCGATCACCTTGCAGAAAATGACGATGAAGGGGATGAATGGGGCGAAGAGCAAAGTCCTGGTCGGTGAGCGACTACGTTTGCTTCTCCGCAGATCGATGCAGACTTACCAGTGGATATACGTCGGGAAGAGGGCCGACTCTGTCTTGTCGAGGACTACCATGCAGTCCTGGTGCCTCGCCAGGGTAACTCGTGCGGCGTTTATGCATTCCGCGGTGAAAGTCGTCGAGGATCCAGCTGGACGCGGGGCCGCCCTATAAACCATGGTGAGGAGCCCGAGCCTCAGGACCTCATCAGAGATGACAAAAAACTCCATCAGTGGTTTGCCGACGTATTGTTCAGCGGCTTTCAGCCACTTCGCCTAGCACCAGGTCAGATTATCTTCAGGAACAGCGGGAACGTGAGTATCTTGAAGGCACTGACGTCTGTCTGCCTTGACTCGACTTCTAAGTCTTCCAGGTCCGAAACCAGCTTCTCAACACGAGCTAAACGGACGCTATCGGGCTGCTTGATCGCATCTGGGCTGTACAGCTTCTCGTAAGTATTGCCCTGGCACCGCGCCGCTTTGATCCAGAGGCAAAAATAGCCCACGAGGGCCCTCTTGTCAGCTGTCTTTACGTCAGGCGGCTGGACGGTTACATCCCAGTCAGGGATGGTGGAAGCTCTCCCGAGGCGGAGAGACAGGCTCTTGTCGATAAAATAGACGGACCAAAAGACGAATACCTTGAACTCTCGGTCTTCGGGCTTGTCATTCTTCATCGAGGAGGCGCGGTGATATCCTAGTGTCTGGCACAGCTCCGAGGCTTTGCAAGTCAGGACCCACGAAAGCGAGGGTTTGGAGATCTCGATGGCATGGAAAGCCTGTGTACTGTGAGTTATGTTCCGTCCGTCGCGTCGATCGAATGGGCCGTCACTTACTCCGAACAGGAGAGCCAGGAGAACGTCGTTCGAAGCGGGCAGATGCAACGGCAGATTTGCGAGGGCCGTTTCCAAGTTTTCTTTGCATATTCGGGCGTATTGCAAGTTCTCCTCCTTCTCTTCTGGAGGACAATGGTACGATTGGTCGAGGAAAAGGGCATAGAGGCCAGCGTTGACTGTGATGTAATCGGTGTCCAGATGGTCATCAGAAAAGTATACCCCGAGACAAAGGTCAGTGAAGTGCTGTTTCGAGAGAAATTCAAATATCCAACTAGTGCTCGCCAGCCACTGCGAAGCTGTGGTACAGGATATCAGTTATATTTTCTCCACCGAAGGTACCTGATGGAACATACTGGCAGTCCTCAGAAGAGCCACGGCCTTCTTAATTGGAGGCAGGTCGGCGGTCTGGAACACAGGACGCGAAGTAGGCTTTCCATGAGGGTACGCCATTTCACTGGTCGTGGTCTGCTGCTTCAAGGCGTCGACAATGTGGTGAAGAGAGTTGAGGGTCTCCCGCAGCTCGAGGCCAGAACCCTGGAGGTCCCCGGTGTTGACCACCTTTTGGAGGAACTCATTGGCGAATACAGAGTGCGCAGCCAGCGAAGAGTCGCCTTCCACTACTGGACCCGCGGGGACGGACTGGGCACCATGGCTTGACGGCGTCGAAAAGGACGACTGCACGTTCCTTGCCGCTGGTGAAGGGTTCGAGGTTGAGGCTGTCTGGGACTGCGACGGCTGTGATGCCGGCGGCGGCCAATTCAGCTTGAGGTCTTCCAGCAAGCGGACGACGCCATCGAGCCGGCGATCAATGAGGTCGATTTTGCGCTCACTTTCGACTAGTCAGAGCACGAACGACAGGCAGCCATGGTCCGGTTCGTAAGACAAAGTGCATCAAATTGACAATTGTCCATCCCAAAAAAGAAAAAAAGAAATCCTTGGAGGAAAGACTTACTACTGAGGGGTCAGTAGGATGCGTGTTCGCTTCTCCTTGGGCTTAGCGTCTGCGTGGGTGCACTCGATTTTTGCGTGGACGCAGTGAGAGCAGGGAGACTCTCGGTTGCACCGAATCTGTTGGTGTTAGTGACATGGCCATACATCATGGGTTGAATAGAAGATGTGATCAAGGCTTGACCGTCAAGCCGAAACCACCTCAACAGGAGAAAGAGGCTTGGTGGTCCTTGTTTCTATGCCCCTGTGCTCATGTTGACCGTACCTTGCGAGAGCGGCAAGCATCACACTTACAAGAAATTAGTTAGCGGACCAGCATGATGAACAGAGACGATGAGGAGGCACGAACTGCTCGACGAATAGAAGTGGACGGGTTCAACGAGATGTCGGCCACCTCGTCGACGCCACTTCCGTCCCTACTATCGTCCATGTGACGTGCCGGCGGCGTCCCACCGGGAGTGTCTAGGTCTGGAAGTGGATGGTGGGGTGCTTGAATGCTGTGAACCGCACTGCGATGTCCTCATACGGCAATCAACGGGAGTGCTGTTGGAGAGAGCCCCGGCAAGATGGGCCGTGTGCAGATGGTCGGCAGGTCGCTGTCGGAGGGAGCAGTCGTCGGATCCCGAGATCCGTGGGAAGTATGTGTTTTGAATAATGTCTTGTGAAGGCGTTCATCGTCTGACAGCGACGTTGGATGGGGGGGGCAGTTGATGGGAGCCTGAAGCCCTCTTGTCCTCTCGGCACGGAACGCGCGCGTTCCGTCTAGTGGAGCCCTGTCGGTTCGAGGCGCGGTTGCTGGCACTTGGCTGCGCCTGGCTACCCAGACATGATGCCTGGCCAGCACACTCAAATGATTCCCTCAAGGTCAACCTATGACGAACAAGGGCTGACGGGACGTATCAATACCGGGTGAGTCAGACGGAAGGATTTGCGGAGCAGCCCACAGGATGGGAGAGCCCGGTCACTCATCACCCGTCGCCGGCTCTCCGCGACACCTACGAGGTGCGAGGTGCGAGGTGCGGTGGCCGAGGTGTCCGTTATCCGCGTCCCGGGGCCGTGAAGTGGGGGCAAACTGTAGGTAGCCCCGTCACAGATCCACAATGTTCCTCACAGAGTCGAACAGGCAGGTAAATGAGGCGCTCGTTTCCTTGGGAGGCATTGCGTGGGTCGTTTGGATTGCGTGAGGTGTATCATCTTGGATTTGCCATTGAGAGTGATGGCATAACTTGCCGCTTACGAATATCAAATCACCGACGGTGTTCGTTGCCTCTGTACATGCTGCATCTCATGACGTTGGCCAGCATCCCACTGTTGATGCTGATGCTGCCTTGTGGCCCCGTTTTTTAGCCGTGCGCCCCCGCCCACTAGCGAGACCTCGTAGCGTGAAATGGAGCCGTTTCCAGGGGGGGCCCAGCACGATTTACAGTGGTCGACCCTCCAGTAGGGGGGCAAGGGGGCGACCCACCCTGCTTGCGCGCGGAACCCGACACCTGAGATCAAAGGGCTTGGCGACGACGCGAGGCAAGAAGAAAACACTTAGTTGAGCCTGCCAGCTCGAGAAGTCATGATGATTTCCAATCCGCCTGCTCTTGTTAAGTTCGGACCATTTTCGTCCTTGAACCCATTTCTATTTCCTTCTCTTTTCATTCCACAACCCCAAGTCCGGTGCATCACCAACACTCGCCATTCGGGAGGCGATACATCATCGTCAACTTCATGTCCTTCCTTCGGTACCCTTAAAACTCCACGAGGGCAACCATCTGTCATTCCTCGTACTCCATACCGTTCACAAACAAACAACATCCATAGCGCACGCCCATTATTTCTCAGTCGACCATCCTCGTCATGGGCGCCGAAGCCTTGAGCGAAAAGGGCGCTACCGCTGCCAGCGATGAGGCCCTCGCTGCTGCCGCCGCCAGCAAGGAGCCTGAGCCTGATGTCCCCGAAGAGGAAGCTCCTTGGGCAGCATACAAAGTACGCTTCTTGTGCCAGGCTTTCATTCAACCACTGACCTGCTTTGTAGAGAATCTTCCGATATGCTGGTCCTCTCGAGTACTCCTTGCAAGCCATCGCCATCGTTGCTGCGATTGCGTCAGGCGCTGGCATTGCGCTCCAGAACCTCATCTTCGGCCAATTCATCACCGTCATCACCGACTTCACTACCGGTGTGAACACACCAGCCCAATTTATGGATGATGTTTCTACCCTGGCGTAGGTTGTCTCCAGTTATCAGCATGAGCCCTTGCCCCTGGCTAACTGACACCCCAAGTCTCTACTTTGTATATCTCGGCATCGGCAGATTCGTTCTCGCCTACCTCTACAACTCTCTTCTCACGTACGCTGCGTATCGCATCATTCGCAATATCCGTCACGAGTATCTACGCGCCGCCCTGAGCCAGGAAGTCGCATTCTATGACTTTGGAACAGGCGGCTCCATCGCAACCCAGGGCACCTCCAACGGCCGCCTCATCAACGGCGGTATTGCCGAAAAACTTGGTCTTACTTTCCAAGGACTGTCTGCCTTCGTTACCGCCTTTATCATTGCCTTCATCGTCCAGTGGAAGCTCACGCTCATCTGCCTTTGCATCGCACCCGCCACCATCATCGTCATGGGTGTCATCGCTACCATCGAAGCTGGTCACGAGACGAAGATCTTGGAGATCTACGCCCAGGCCAATTCGTTCGCCGAGGGCGTCCTCTCTAGTGCCCGTGCTGTTCATGCCTTCGAAATGCGTGCCAGGCTTGTGCACAAGTTCGACGAGCACCTCATCGAAGCCCACAAGGTGGGTAGCAAGATATCCATCCTGTTCGGTATCATGTTCTCTGCCGAGTACACCATCATCTACCTGGGCTTTGGCTTGGCTTTCTGGCAGGGTACTCAGATGCTCTCGCGCGGCGAAATCTCCTCTTCAGGCGAAATCTTCACTGTCTTGCTTTCAGTCGTCATCGCTGCCATCAGCTTGACGACCCTAGCCCCGTACTCTATTGACTTTAGCCGTGCTGCGTCTGCAGCTGCTAAGCTTTTCAGTCTCATGGACCGCAAGTCTGCCATAAATCCATTCGACAAGTCTGGTGAAGAGCCAGCCGAGACTGTCGGCCTCGTCGAGATTGAGAATGTCACCTTCGCCTACCCTACCCGGCCGAGCACCACAGTTCTCGATAACTTCACCCTGCGTGTTCCTGCTGGCAAGGTGACCGCACTCGTTGGCCAGTCTGGAAGTGGTAAGAGTACCATAGTCGGGTTGCTTGAACGATGGTACAACCCCAAATCCGGTACGATCAAGCTTGACGGCCGTCCGATCGAAACGCTGAACCTCAACTGGCTGCGCAAGAACGTCCGCCTCGTCCAGCAAGAGCCCGTTCTGTTCCAAGGTAGCGTTTTCGACAATATCAAACACGGCCTCGTTGGAACGCAATGGGAGAATGCTCCTGTAGAAGAGCAGAGAAAACTGGTGCAGGAAGCGGCCAAGATGGCGTTTGCGCACGACTTCGTCTCTGAGCTGCCAAATGGCTACGACACGCAAATTGGCCAACGTGGCGGTCTACTTTCTGGTGGACAGAAGCAGCGCGTTGCTATTGCTCGCAGTGTGGTATCGCAGCCGAAAGTACTCCTCCTGGACGAGGCTACCAGCGCACTTGACCCGCACGCTGAAAGCATCGTTCAACAGGCCCTCGATAAGGCTTCCGTCGGCCGTACCACGATTGTTATTGCTCACAAGCTGGCTACCATCCGCAAGGCCGATAACATTGTCGTCATGACTAAGGGCCGCATCGTGGAGCAGGGTACCCACGAGGCCCTTATTGCCAATGACGATGTTTACGCCAACCTTGTCAAGATCCAGAACCTCGCTGTCACAGACACAGACTCGACCTCGGACACGGAGATTGACGAAGCCAACGCCTCCAAGGGTGAGGACTTGGACGTCTCCAAATCACTGACTCGCTACGCAACATCAGTCCAAGGGCGCATGGAAGACCAGAAGGAACGTGACAACTACGATCACCACAAGCAAAAGGGCGTGTTCTACGTCGTACTTCGACTCATGCGCGAGTCTCCAGAGGTGTTCGGGGCGTACGTCTTCATGCTACTGGGCTGCATCGGCGCTGCTGCCGCATTCCCAGGCCAGGCTATCCTTCTGGCTAACGTCATGGATGTCTTCACATTGACCGGCGATGCCATGAGGAGTCGAGGGTCATTTTATGCAACCATGTTCATCGTCCTCGCCGCTGGTTGCCTCCTCTCGTACTTCTCTCTTGGATACTCAACCAACGTTGTCGCACAGTTTCTCAACCATAAACTGCGAAAGCAAAGTCTTGCCGATATGCTGCGGCAGGATCTGCAGTTTTTCGATCGCACAGAAAACAACACGGGCGCCCTCACTGGCCGCGTCGATTCGAACCCGCAAGCTATTCTCGAGCTCATGGGCTTTAATATCGCCCTCATCCTCGTCGCTGTGCTCAACGTCGCGTCCTGCTGCATCCTTGCCATTGCGCATGACTGGAACCTCGGTCTTGTTGTCGTCTGCGCTGGTCTGCCCCCTATTCTGACGGCCGGATACCTCAAAATTCGGTTCGACGCCAAGCTTGATCGCGACATGTCGAAGCGTTACGCCAATAGTGCCGCCATTGCCTCGGAGGCTGTCAATGCCATCCGCACAGTGTCGTCCCTCGCTATTGAGGAGTCGGTCCTCCAGAGCTACACTGCCGAGCTCGATTGGGCCGTCGCGGAATCCACTCGTCCCATGTTCATCATGATGGTGTGGTTTGCTTTGACGCAGTCGATTGAGTACTGGTTCATGGCGTTGGGTTTCTGGTACGGCTGCCGTCTGCTGTCATTCGGCGACATCAGCATGTATGACTTTTTCGTCGCCTTTCTGGGTGTCTTCTTCTCCGGCCAGGCCACCGCCCTTTTGTTCCAATTTTCGACAAGCATCACCAAGGGTATCAATGCAGCCAACTACATTTTCTGGCTCCACGAATTGCAGCCCACGGTTCAAGAAACGCCCGAGAACCGCAACCACGGTCCCAGCGCTGGCGGTCCTATCGAGCTCGACAACGTTCGCTTCTCCTATCCTCTTCGTCCGGATGCTCCCGTGCTCAAAGGTGTTGAGATGAACGTAAGTGCCTCCCACCTCCCATCGGCCACCTGAGCAGCTCAACTAACATTCGCAGATTCAACCCGGTCAATTTGTGGCGCTTGTCGGCGCGTCTGGATGCGGCAAGTCCACAATGATCGCCATGCTCGAACGCTTCTACGATCCGACGACCGGCACGATCAAGATTGCTTCCTCTCCACTGCCCACTCTGAACCCAAGGCTATACCGTCGCCTCGTCGCGCTTGTCCAACAAGAGCCGACGCTGTTCCAAGGGACGATTCGCGAGAACATTGCCCTCGGCCTGGATGATGACCCTCTCGACGCCTCGTCGGAGAAGACCGCCGCCACAGTCCCTGACTCTCGAATTGAGGTCGCACTCCGCGCAGCCAACGCGTGGACCTTTGTCTCGTCGCTACCACAGGGCCTCGCCACTCCAGCCGGCGCCAACGGCACGCAGCTGTCGGGTGGTCAGAGGCAGCGCATCGCCATTGCGCGGGCGCTCATTCGTGACCCGGCCATTCTGCTTCTCGACGAGGCGACGAGCGCCCTGGACACGGAGAGCGAGAAGATTGTGCAAGGCGCCCTCGCCGAGGCGGCCAAGGCTGGAGACAGGATCACGGTGGCGGTCGCGCACCGCTTGAGTACTGTCAAGGACGCCGACTGCATTTGTGTGTTCTACGGTGGGAGGATCGTGGAGATGGGCACGCATGCTGAGCTCGTGGCCCTGGGAGGCATGTACAGGAAGATGTGTGAGGCGCAGGCTCTGGATTAGGCGTGACTTGTATGGCAGATACTTTGTATACAGCGTGACCTTTACCCTGATTAATTTGTCGGATGCATATCATAGACATAATACCCAGGAAACCATCTTCATAGTTTTGTCACTTGGCTGCGAGCATGCAAGTCAGATGTAGTCGGTCAAAACTTCAAGTATCTTAGTGGTTAACGATCGTCCGTGAAACTACTCCCTGTCGAAACCAATCCACCCTAATCATCCATGTGTCTGCCCCGGCCTCATCAAGATGCGAAACGAATCGTCACCAAAAGACCTTCCAAAGGCTTGCTCAGGGGCTCAGAAAACCAAGAGAATGAGCAGCGCATACCCTTCCTGGGGCACGAACTAAAATACGGTGTGACGAAGTGAAAAGAATACGAAAGATGATAGAACGCCTTCCGAGGTATGCAATCTGCCCTTATCCTCCACCTCCTCGACTCCATCGCCAATACCCCCCACCATCTGTTCCTGTTCAACCGCCTCGCCGCCAGAGCACCCGTCACTCACCACATGAAGTGGCGGAAGTTGTTCCGCACAGGAGGAGGCGAGGAGCCCGCGGCGCCAGCATCAGGAGGCGCTGGCGCCGCAGGGGCCGCAGGTGCTGATGCAGCCGGGGCGGGAGGCGCGGATGGAGGAGCCGTGTCAGGAAGAGGCGCGGGAACCGCAGGAACGGGCACGGGCTCGCCGGCTGGCTGGGGTACCGGGGCGTTACCGGGTGCTGGTTCAGGGGCTGGTTCCGGCCCGGGCTGCGGCTGACCTGCGCTGCCGGCCGGTGCGGGTGCGCAGTTGAGGTTGCAGGGCGTCTCGCAGCGGCCGATAAAGTCGGGGGCGTCGTTCTTGCAGCGGCCGTTGCAGGGGCACAGGAGTTCAATGTCTGTGCCGGTGGGCTGGTCGAAGGACTCGCAGAGGCAGACGAAGAGCGAGTCGTCGAGGCGATTTGAGTCGGGCTGGGCGCTGGCGCAGTCGATGCCGGGGCTGGAGCAGTAGCCTTTGGATACCTGGTCCTGGGTGTAGCCTGCGAGTCGAGTTAGTGGTATATCGCAATTGAAGGGATGGGGGAAGAGGTACCCTGGGAGCCTCTGAGGACCTTTCCGCAGTAGGTGGCACCGCAAACACATGTTGCGCCGTTGGTGGGCGGCGATCCTGTAGGTGCTGAAGAGGGGGGAGCAGGAGGAGGGGGAGGGGGGGGAGGGGGTGAGTTTCCGGGTGGCTGTGGAGTTCCTTCGATCACCGTGATGGTCGTCGTCGACGTGGTCAAGGGAGCCGGGAGGATCTGAGGCACAGGCGGAGCGGGGACCTCCTGAGCTCGAGCAGATGCCAGTTCAAGGAGTGCTGCGAGCGTGAGTATCGATGTGGGCCTCATCTTGCGGGGAAATCCAAGGCGTCGTCGTGTATGTTGATGCTGGTGGTTATCTGTGACAGACGGACTGCTTGTTCATGAGGCTGGAGCAGATATCGTGTCCATGCTCAAGAAAACTGCAAAGGCGCCCATTGCCCTTTTATGTTGACAAGTGGTTTCCTCCATGATCCAAGTTGACTCTTCTGTCGACTGCCTCTGCCAGTTGCCAAGACGGTATAGCATGATCTGGTTGGATACCTTTCTCGAGTTGGTCCAAAGTAAGCAGCAAGCATCCGTGTTCGAGGTAGAGCAGGCGGATATTCCAGCGACACGTTGATGTGATACCCGTAGCGGACCTCACTCGGGCCCTCTTCGCGTCACCTTCAGTATGTGTACGACGAGGATGCGTCACGCTTGATAGCAGTGGTGCCGGTGGTAAAATCCACTGCTAGCCATGGCCGCCCAGGCATTGCAACATATGCCAGGCTTTTCTCCTTCCTACGACGTCCAGATCCACTCGGAAGAGGTCAAAGGTGTGTCATCGGCGACTCGGCGACTCGATGGCCGGCTCGGGCGCTTGCCTCGATGACATATGCCGTGGCCATTGCTGTCATGCCGTGCTTCGAGGTACGCGGCGAGGAACCGTCCGGTAGATACGAGGACAGCTGAGATGGTTATGTCAATACGTGTATCTTTTTCCCACGCTTGAATCAGGAAGATGGAGATGGAGATGAGGTCATGAAAGGCTTTTGTGGTCGGAAGTCGCGTTCTTGGTTCAACGTATGTGAGAACTGTGTAGCGACATGACGGACAAGCATGTATCATCTGATGGCGTCTCTTCATGACACGGAATTTTGACGTGAGGACCTCCGTTGCACAGCCGTATGCCGCCATTCCTTGTTGAGGGAGGGGCCTGGGCAAGGAACTGTTGTTGAGGTTGAGGTTGAGGTTGTCGAAGAGACAGGGTAACAACGAGGGGTGGAAGCAGAGGATGAGGCAGGGACAGTGCGCAGGGCCAATGCACACCCGACACTGTACGACCCCACCACCCCCACCACCCCGCCATGCCGGCCATACCTGCCACACCACATCTCCCGTCATCCCACTTCCAGTCAAAGGGCTCCGACATTCAGGGTCTTTGCTGTACAGATCCAAGCCTCCCAAGTCCCGACCGTCGCGCAGCCCTGGCTCGAACTCGAAGCAGCCCACTCTGTTTGACCTTGAGCACATTGGACAGCACACAAACTCCTGTCCGCCCACCATGGCTGCCGCTCCCACCTCCGACAGCGGCAATGGCCCCGCCGCCTCGGCCGCCTCGACCGTTCGTATCGGCACCCGCAGGTCAGCGCTCGCCGTCCGCCAGACCGAGCTGGTTATCGAGGCGTTCAAGCGCATCCGTCCCGACTACATATATGAGATCCACGCCATGCAGACCCTCGGCGACAAGGACCAGATCACTGCCCTCTACAACTTTGGCGGCAAGGGCCTGTGGACGAACGAGCTCGAGGCCAAGCTCACGAACAATGAGATTGACGTGATCGTTCACAGTCTCAAGGACATGCCCACCGTCCTCCCCGAAGGCTGCATACTTGGCGCCGTCGTCGAGCGCGAGAACCCCCACGATGTCGTCGTCTTCAAAGATACAGTCGCAGACCAGTACAAGTCCATCGCCGACCTCCCCGCCGGCAGCGTTGTCGGCACGAGCAGCATCCGCCGCATCGCACAGCTGAAGCGCAAGTACCCGGGTCTCCAGTTCGCCGACGTCCGCGGCAACATCCAGACCCGTCTCGCCAAGCTCGACGACCCCGACGGCCCTTTCACCGCCATCATCCTCGCCGCCGCCGGCCTGCTGCGCATGGACCTCGGCGGCCGCATCGGCCAGTACCTCGCCTCCGACACGGGTGGCATCCTGCACGCCGTAGGACAGGGTGCCCTCGGCATCGAGGCCCGCACCGACGACGACCGCGTGCTCACCCTGCTCCGCGGCATCGAGCACGGCCCTACGCGCCTCGCCGCCGAGGCCGAACGCAGCGTCATGCGCACTCTCGAGGGCGGCTGCAGCGTGCCCATTGGTGTCGAGACGACCTGGCGCGACGACGGCAAGACACTGACCCTCAAGGCGTCCGTCACCCACGTCGACGGCACCCACGGCGTCGACGGCGAGAGCACACGCGTCATCGAGTCGCCCGAGGCGGCTGACCAGCTCGGCAGGGACCTTGCCGCCGAGCTTGTTGATAGGGGGGCGCAGACGATTCTGGATGACATCAACCAGAACCGGCCGGGGGATCAGCCTGCGACGCTCCCCGCGGCGGCTGCATCATAGGCTTTTTCCCTCTCTCTTTTTTTTCCTTCTTCACATCTGCTCTGTTCCACGACTGCCCGTCTTGTGAGTCGAGTTTACTGGCATACCCTGTGACGAACTGCATAGCGTACGTAGCTTGCTCAGCGAGCGAGGGATTCCAACGGGACCCTCCTGAGCACATGCACAAAAAAAGAAAAAGCGTCGATGATGAAGAGCCCGAACAGAATGACTTGTAAAAAAGCATGAATCTCAATTCCGTTCCTATGTCACCGGCCCAATGTTAAAAGCCGTAAGACCGTCAGCAGTCCGTATGATACAGCCCGAAGTCTTCCTCCGCGCCGCCGTCACCTCCCTGGTCTGGGAGAGACGGGGGAGGATATGTTGTGCAAATGTAAAAATAAAAAGAGCCAGAAAATTCCCCAGGTTGAACTGTACTTGTCGCTTCCATAACCCACCCAACGCGCGCACGCGCACACACACGCTATCATGCCCTTATCTACCAGGTC